CAGGATATTAATTGATTACAGAAGTACTTCTGTTTACAGTCCTAGAAAGAAGAATCTCAATTATGAGCAAAAGTATATTTGGGGGGGGGGGGAATTGCTACTGCCAATTGCAGGAAGTTAAAGCATAGCTCTTTAGAACTGGGTAACAGATTAAAACATAAATTGTATTTGTAGAAAATACCTTACCTGGAAACTGGTCTCTCTGAAAAAAGTTTTGCAATCTCCACAGAATCAAAATGTGCAAAATAATTTGTTCTTGCATGGTTACTTTTACTGTATTTTACACGTGGAAACTTGTTAAGATTATAAAACAGCAAGTTGGCATAAAAAATGCGAAAACCCAAAACCGCACTCTGGCTCCCACCAGATCATGAGAATGAACGAAACTGGTGACATCTCTTCATTGTCATTCTACATTCCACAGCAATAATTCATTTAATAGTTTGATGTTGCAATCTCTGCGTTTTATAAAGGTAACATAAGCTATCCTATTTTAAGAAGAAATTCCCACAGCTGAATGAATACATGTCTGTTTTGTGCACCTCAGAGGAAGTAACAGCAAAGCATGTGCCAATTAAAAATACTTTCAGCTGTTTGCTCTATCCTAAAGACCCCCTAAAAGGGACGCGGGTGCGCTGTGGTCTAAACCACAGAACCTAGGGCTTGCCGATCAGAAGGTCGCCGATTCGGATCACCGCGACAGGGTGAGCTCCCGTTGCTCAGTCCCTACTCCTGTCCACCTAGCAGTTCAAAAGCACGTCAAAGTGCAAGTAGATAAATAGGTACCGCTCTGGCGGTAAAAGGCATTTCCGTGCACTGCTCTGGTTCGCCAGAAGCGGCTTAGTCATGCTGGCCACATGACCCGGAAGCTGTCTGCGGACAAACGCTGGCTCCCTCAACCTACAGAGCGAGATGAGCACCACAACCCCAGAGTCGTGCGTGACTGGACTAAACTGTCCTTTAGGTAAAGACCCCCTTGCTTCATTTGTGGCATATCAATTATTTTCCCTGCCAGCTAGTGTGTACTCCTAAATTTGAGGGAACTATTCCAGGAGACAATATCTCTTGCTTAGGAGAGTGAAACCTGTAGCCTTTCAAATATTTGTGGACTCCCCATCAGCCCCAGCCAGTATGATCAATGGTCAGGAATGGTGAGAACTGGGAGTCCAATGCCATCAATCTTCTATCAATGGCTCTGCCCATTGCTGTTTACTTACCTGTTTTAGACAAAAGTATATTTTGAAATGATGACGGTTTTTATTTTACATACACAATATCTCACAGAAGTGGTTTTCCAGATGAGGTTTACATAGCATTTAACAAGTGTTTTCTTTAGCAAACATTAAAGAGGATACACACAGTGCCGGATTTACATATAAGCTAAACAAGCTATAGCTTAGGGCCCCACTCTCTTGGGGTCCCCCCCAAAAAATAAAGGGAAAAACCTGGACGTAGATTTCCAAAATATAATATAAAAAACAAATAAGATAAAACCTACATACAGCAACAGTGTTTTGTGTTGTGTTGGCTCCTATTTGTTATGTGCAAATGGCTTTAGATACCTATTAGGTCCATAAATTACCATATAGCATATATTCAACACGAAAAACAGTGACAATTTGTTGTTGACAAAGGACAGCTGGATAGATAAAGGACCCCATTACTTTCAGTAGCTTAGGGCCTCATCAAACCTAAATCCAGCCCTGGATACATATAAATACAATTAAAACTATTTCACTAGCACTTATAAAATCCTGGGACTTTCCTTGAGAGCTGAAACGGTGTGGGTGAATGAAGGAGGTCATAAGACTTTTAGGCCAATCTAAACACCCGACCCTTCACAAGCACAGTTGTTTCACACTTGCATTCCACTTGGAAATTCCAAGGAAGAATTTGGCAGAGAAAAACATAAACTTAGCAAAGGCATTTAGCAGCTGAGCAGCTTACTGCCAGATGAATAACAATATACTAGCTAGAATAGAAACACAATTCCTTCCATGGAATGGAGAGGGAAATGGGTGGGCTGATGGGCTCTGGGTGTGTTGAGAATAATTGCTTCAGAACTGAAGAATGGCCTTTAACAAGACTAGTTTTGAACATGTTGGGTTTGGGTTTAAGATGTGCTAACAAAACACAAAAAAAGCTTTAGATGTAATCCTGTCTGTGGACTAGCCATGGCCTGCAGGCTTCCCCTGCGTGCTCTAGCGGTTGAGCGGACAAGACGGATGGTGGGCCCAACAGTCAAGAAGGCAGTTTCTGCAAATGCTGTAGGGGGAAGTGGGGGGTGCAGATGGGACTCATCAACCTGGGAAGGTAGCCCATCTAGGAGAAAGAAAATTCTGATCCATGCAGGTTCCACTGCATGCCTATCAATATCAATAAAGATATATACAGTAGATATATATAGTTTTAATTCTATCAGTGTCTGATTAAAACAACTTTTTAGCTGTTCCTATTTTATATGTAAGCTGCCTTGCATCCCTTTCAGGGGAAAAGTGGGATATAAATAAATACTATAATAACAATAACCTGAAGGGAGCATCTCCACCCCCATCATTCAGGCTATACACTAAGGTTTCCTAAACTGTGAGAGTAAAGTTACAGGGAACTAGGCAGAGGGACTTCTCAGTGGTGGCACCCTCCCATCAGCTGTCATAAATAACTATACAACATTTAGAAGACATCTGAAGGCAGCCCTGTATCAGGAGGTTTTTTAATGTTTGATGTTTTATTATGATGGGCAGTGTGGTGCTGGCGCTGGTGTTATTTCTGCTGTTTATTGTCTTCCAATGAGAGCAGTTGCTTCTGCTACCACTTTTGCTTGCCCTTCCCTTTTGGGGACTTGTGGTTGAAAGCTTAGTGTGGTGTCTGCTTGACAGGTGCACTGTCCAGCCAATACCACTTGCATCATACAGTGCAGGGAAAAGAAGAAGCCCTTGGCAGAAGATCAGGGCTTGCATGGGATCGATAATCTGCTGATGAGACGGATATATTTAACTTAGCCACTGATGACATTAACAGGAAACCACAGACATGAACATGATGGAAGAGCCTGAAGAACACCGTCCATGAGGAAGTAAAAAAAGGTTTTTTTAAAAGCTGTTGCATAATTTCTGAATCAGAGGTTGCCAGATTTTTTGTAGGCACCTTTCAGTTTTGAGAATATGCCAGAGGCAGCAGTCACAAAATGGCTCCCATATCTGAAAGAACAGAAGAGGAGACAGGACCAAAAAATGATGTGGTTATGCACCCCATCAGTGTGGAAACACACACTTGCATCAGCAACCGCCATGCTTGTTCAGAGAAGCGCTTGGCACAGATGGTGTGCACTTGTCCTGGCATTCAGAAAAGGTGAATGCCTCTTCTCCTTAAACATGTGAACATGTTTAAGGAGAGATGTTCCATATAGAAGAGGCTGAGCCAGTACAAACAGGTACTGAGCATGAAGTGAAATCTCTCATACACGGTGGACTTCTAGGGGATGTTTACTGAGACCTTTTGTGGGCACCAGAAGAAGTACTGGGGGGATACTGTTGCCTGTGGGTTCCACACTGCTGACCCCTCTGATCTAAAGAGCATGCTGCTGATCTCTTGTGGCCTCATTTACTAGGATTCCTGTGTTGTTCTACTGAACCTGTTGTATAGGTTTGCTGACACTACAAAATTCTTTAGATGACTTGAGTATTGCAGGATAACATACGAAGTGGCTTGCTTCTCTGTGCACTGGCTCTGCTGAAAATAACATAAAAACAACAGCTAGCTGAGGGACACCTGTAGGTGAGAACTATTAAACACAATTTGCTCCTGTTGTACTGATTTAAGAGAAGGGGACTTTTAGGCTCTTGAAAAGAACTCCCTGGTCAACCAACTCCAGGCAACGGAGGATGTGCCTGTTCCAATGGTAAAAGCTTTCCTTGAATTGGCTGGGAAATGTCCAGTATTTGCTTCCAGTATTTGCTTCCAACTAAAGACTGGAGGACTGGATGTTCTCCTTTGCTGCACATGTCAATTGCAGTTGAAGTGAGCAGCCAGTGACTGTTGTCTCCTAGGGGCTGCCAGATGTCGCAATGGGAAGCCCACACACAGGATCTGAGTGCAAGAGCACCCTCCCCACCTGTGATTCCCAGTAACTGGTATTCAAAAGCAGTGGAGGAGGAACCTAGTAATCATGGCTAAAAGTCCCTGATGAGCTCAACTTAAAATGTTCACCATTTTTTAAAAAAGGTGTAAAAATTCACTGGAGAAGTAGGCAAAGATTCATCATGTCTTGAGCAGCTCTCCACCTTCCAGGGTTGCTGTCCAGGACTGGTCCAAGACATTTTGCTGCCTGAGGCAAAGGACAAGATGACACCTCTCCCTGTTCTACATACCACACCAGGAAAGGGAACAGGACTCCATCCTCAAAGCAGGATGCTTTTTTCCCTATCATCGCTTGCCCTGTAACTTCCTGCTGAATTCCTGTTAACTTTTCATGCCGCAAATGTTGTGTCGCTGTTTATGTTCTGCTTTGGTTGTGCTACAGCACAAGTGTTCCCTTGTAGATGGCGATAATGCAGCAACATTGGGGAAATTTGCAGAACTGATCAAGCTGATTGATATGTCAATGGCCACTAATGCATTATTGTTGTGTCAATAGCATATCACAAAATATATCCCCACCCCCACCCCACCAAGAACTCCGCTCCAGTCTGGAGGGATCCTAACTCTTTTTAATGTGCTGGGTGGGGGAGGGATGTATGAGAAGGGCTCCACTTTAGGCAGCAAAGTGTTTGAGGCAGCACTTCCTCCATGAAGACCTAGAAACCCATAACCACACCGTGCATGTAAAGCCCCCAGCTCTCCCCAAAGAATGCTGGGAATTGTAGTTCAGCCTCTCCAGAGCACTCTTAACAAACTGCGCTTGAGATTCCTGCATTGCAAGGGGTTGGACTGGAATAGTCCTTGAGCTCTTTCCAGCGCTACGATTCTATGATTCTACATTTCCCAGGATTCTTTGGGTAAGCCAGAGGCTTTAAGTGTATGGTGCTGCTGTTGTGACCTAGGGCTGCCGTCAATAAAAGTTCATTTAATATGGTGCGTTGACGTGAGAGCAGCCTTCGTCGCCCCTCACGCCCAGAAACCTCAAGCTTCCCTTCGGCACTATTTGCTCCCGGTGCTGCCACTCCCTGTGCTGCGGCAGTAACGGGCTTACTGCCCCGGGGTAAGAAGCCCGACACAAGCGACTCCGGAGGCGAGCGGCCCGCGCGGTGGCCTCCGGCTAACTCGGCAGCGGGGAAAGGCGCTTCAGGGCCCGGGGGCGTTTGTTCGCCCCCCACCCCGGCGACTCCGGCACCTGAAGCCTGGCGGCAACGTCTGCACCGGGTCGTCCCCTCCCCCCCGCCCCCGCCGGCGAATGGCCGGCTGCTCGCCCGCCGCGCTCCTCCCCTTCTGGCTCTGTCCTCGCCCGCGTCGGCGAAGCAAACCCTCGGAGGCACTTCCCCTCCGGGAAATCCAGTCGCGGAGAGGCGGCGGAGGGAGCCGGGAGCGCGGGAGGAGGCGCCTTCAACTCTTGCGGGACGACGCGGACTTTGCGCACCTGAGGAGCCCCAACCCCTTGGAAGAGACTCTGCACGCGCTGCCGGTGGGTATTGTATTTTTGTAGTGTTTTTATGTGTTTTCTTCTTGCTGCGGCTCGACGCTTTCGAAGCAAGCCCACACCCGCCTGCTCACAAGTAAGTCCGTCCCGCTGAGTTCCATGGCATTTACTCGTAGTTAATAAGTATAGGATTGCAGCTTAAGCCGATGGTTGCGCTGCTGCGGACAGGGCAGTTCTTTCCACGTTTACGCTGGAAAAAAAGTTCATGGAGTTTGTTTCTGAAGAAACGAGCTGCGCTGCTTATTTTTTGTTTTTCCACTTTCCTTCCCTCTGCAATGGGGATGCAAAAGCAGCTGCATTATCTTTGACATGCATTGCATGGCAATGCTCATTTGAAAGCCCTTTCGTGCTCTCTCTCCCACTTTAATCACACATTTACAAATAGGTCTGAAAGTAAAACGATTCACAGGTATTTGTGTGTGAAAAAATGGTCATAAGAACTTCCTAAGTTTTAGACATAGCTTGACATGCATGAAGTAAGCATCGTTTTTTTCTTTTTTATGGGGACCTTGCCATTGGGTATCCTCCAATGCACCTTCTCGTGTGCAATCCGCTGCCATTGCTCATTTGGCCTGCAGTTGCCCACACCAGGCATGGAGGTGACATGTAGCTTCAAAGGATGCCCCTGACACCAACCCCCTGCCCCCCAACAGCCCCACTGTGGAAGCACCATTTGGTTTGAACTATTCAGGTAGCAGATTTCCTTCTGGTTTACCACTTAACAAGCCTGTGTGTAGCAATCTGTTACAAAAAGGAATAGTAACTAATGTAGTTTAGTTTTGCTCCACAGCTTTAGTTCTGGGCAGAGTCATTCTGCCTTGAACCCTTAGCTGGACACTTGCAATAGTATGGTTCTTGCATGGCTTTTGACGTTCAAGAGAAGACTTGGCATGACCACTCAAGTATGTTTCTTGCTCAGTACGCTATTCTGCCTTGCTATTTAGAAGATGCCTGCACTGCCCATCCTCCTGGTGTTTATGTATTGGAGATTAGAAAACAGGTGTTTAAGATTTCTTTCTTTCACACACCTAACCCTTGTCAGCACAGAAAATCCACAGTACTTATATCCCTCCCCTTAGTTGGTCATGGATGCATTTTCATTGATATGTTTTCTGCTACAAGGATTATGAAGGAGCATAAGTTTAATTTTCCAGCGCTGGTACTGCGTCTGTGATTTTCTTTTCTGTTTTATTCTACACCTGATAGCATTCTAAATAGGGGCACCAGTCCTAGTGAACCTCACTGATGAAATAAACCCAATGGCTGTGAAACGTCACTGGCAACTGATGGACAGCTATGGCACAGCCCCTTACAGTTAGTGGCATATCAGTCACACTACAACCTTTCACGATGTACACTGGTTGCGAGTAAACTATATGCAGTGGTGACAAATGATCATGTGGAAAGCAGGGCTAGGGCACAACATGCAAAAGGAGGGGTTGCTGGCACACCCCCCCCCCCCATCTGCCCACTGTCTTCTCCTTTCACAGAGTCCCAGCTTCAGCTGGCATCCCCAGTTCAAAGGATTGGGTAGCAGGTGGTGAGGAAAGCTTCTGCCTGGCAGCCACTGCTGGTAAGAGGAGACCAGCCTTCTCTAACCTGGTTGCCATCCAGCTGTGTTTTGGACTAGAAGCCCCATCAGCCCCAGCCAGCATGCTTTCTCTTCTACTTTATTACATGTGTGTATGTGGACTACAGGGACATGGGTGGCGTTTTGGGTTAAACCACAGAGCCTAGGACTTGCTGATCAGAAGGTTGGCAGTTCAAATCCCCGCAACAGGGTGAGCTCCCTTTGTTCGGTCCCTGCTCCTGCCAACCTAGCAGTTCAAAAGCACGTCAAAGTGCAAGTAGATAAATAGGTACCACTCCAGCAAGAAGGTAAACGGTGTTTCTGTGCGCTGCTCTGGTTCGCCAGAAGCAGCTTAGTCATGACCACATGACCCGGAAGCTGTACGCCGGCTCCCTTGGCCAATAAAGCGAGATGAGTGCCACAACCCCAGATGACCTAATGGTCAGGGGTCTCTTTACCTTTACCTATGTGGACTACAACTCTGATCACCTCCAGCCAGCCTGCTGTCTGGGACTGATGGGAATTGAAATCCAAAACAACTGGAAGGTTGGCACAGATGGACAAATACTGTGGCCTGGTGTGAGGAGGTTTCCTGTGCCCTCCTGCCCTTGTTCTTCATTCTTTTGTCAGGTGCACTCCTTTCTGCTTTGTTCACTAAGGTTGGCACCACCTTGCATATAAACTGCTGTGGGTGATCTCTTCATTTCTCAGTCATCCCCAGGATACATTGCATCCTCTTGAGTGTGTCAGAGAGAGCCCATCCTGTGTTGCATGGGGAGCCCCCGAGCCCCACCCCATTTCTTAGATAATGAAACACAAGGACACCAATATTTTGGGTTAATGGGATAAGGCCACAACTTTATTGGTTACAGATGTGAGCGGTATTGGCTTAGGCCAGGGGTCAGCAACCTTTTTCAGCCGTGGGCCGGTCCACCGTCCCTCAGACCATGTGGTGGGCCGGAGTATATTTTTGCTGGGGGAATGAATGAATTTCTATGCCCCACAAATAACCCAAAGATGCATTTTAAATAAAAGCACACATTCTACTCATGTAAAAACACGCTGATTCCCAGACCGTCCGTGGGCTGGATTGAGAAGGCGATTGGGTCGCATCCGGTCCGCAGACCTTAGGTTGCCTACCCCTGGCTTAGGCAATGGAACTGAACCGACTATATCTGACTCCTGCCCGTCATGCAGGTAGTCTCATAAGGGTCAACCACCAGCAGGGGAAGCCCTGTTGATGTACATCAACTGTGAGCTCCCCCAGGGTCCCCAATGGGGTCGTGGCATGGCCCTAGCCCTTACCTGGGCTTCGGACAGGATCCACACCCCCGGATCCCTTTAACAGAATACCCTTAAAGAGGAGGGGCAGGTGAAGGCCACAACCTCCCCTCCCATAAACCAGGTTTGCCAATGCCTAACTGCCAAATCTTACAAAGTTGTGTTGATTGCTTCAAGGCAGGTGAAAACCACATTGCTGGTGCCAGTTTGCCAAGTGGGGAAATTCCTACCTGGCCCCCTCAACAGGCGACTAACTGTAGTCCATAGCAAGCCCAAGATGGCGAATGCATGGAAATAGGGCGGGAGATCTGACACAGGAGGAGAAAAGGAGACTGAGCCCCCAGCCACACGAATGTTTAAATCAGGTAAGCCACGCCCCCTGGTTGACCATATTGGTCGGCCGGCCGTGGGGCGTGACGCGGCCAGGACTCCCAATGACATGGGCAGCATCGCTACACCCCCTGCTGTACACAGGGAGTGTTTGTGGCCAGCCTGCCTCCCTGGGAAGATGAGTGGTTTTTCAGAACCCAGTGTTTGGAGAAGCGACTTCATTTGCATTTGTTGTTTGCCCATAATCTGCTAAAACACTAAGGCTGCAGTCCTAACCCCATTTACCCGAGAGCAACCCCTACTGAATTCAGTAGGACCTACTTATGAGTAGATACGTTTAGGATTGTGCTGTCGATCAATTAACTTGGGTGCAAGTGTGTAACGGCCCTGTAGGTTTCCTATCGCCAACTAATGCTTGTTGTTTCCAAATTGCTACTTGACAATAGCAGATGGAGGGGGGAGAGAGAGAGACAAGGCTTTTTTCAGGTTTGTGCAGTTGTTTATGTTATAAATGTGCCTGGGACATTCCCAGCAAAAGCATCTGGAATGAATCGAGGTCACCAGCCTTTCTTGCATGAATATGAAAGTGCAGGCACTGGTGGGAGGGGGGAAGTTTTGGGACTTTCCCTTCTGTTGGCACAAGATCCAGCCAAGCAAAAGCTGCTGGGAGGGCAGCCAACTGAACCGAAAGTGCAGGAAGAAAGTTTGGCTGCTTCAAAACGGCTCAGAAATTACTGCTGTTTGGTCTTCAAGAGACCAGAGCTCAATTTTATCTCTAGCCCTCAACTTGTTGAGCAGCCTTCAGTTGATTCCCCCGTCTGTAAAATGATGGCTTGTCTCGCTTTACAACAATTGTGAGAATGAGAGTTGGCCCGTGTAGACTAAAGCACTGTTTACATGGACAATAGCTGTCCTGTGCTACAGTTTAGTTTATGAGCACCAAAATGACAATCAGATAGTAGCACAGGACAGCTATTGCCCATGCAGTGCAACTGATGCTGCCAAACATTTGGAATGGCCATTTTGGATTTACTGCCTGTCTGCAGGATACCTTCCAAGGTGGCAGTGCCCATGGCAACAGCTTTGGCAAATACCCACAGCAGCGATTCCCCCCAAACAGCCTGTGGTTCAACTAAGTTTGACTCAGTGTGAAATGGATGGACATTAAGTTAGGGTCACTAATTTCTTTGGGTCTACTCATGAGTAAAGCTTTGTTGAAGGCCACCCTTGATATTATTATTATTATTGAATTTATATACCACCCTATATCCAGGGGGTCTCAGGGTGATTCACAGAATAAAATCAAGATATAAAACCACAAAATAACTAATAAAAATAAAAGCAACAACCCAATAACCCACCCCACCCCCAAAAAATACATTATAAAAGGGTATGGGATGTAAATCAGATTAACCAAATGCCTGGTTAAAAAGGAACGTTTTTGCTTGGCACCTAAAGGTGTCTGTATATTAGTGGCTGAAGCCAGGGGCAACTGCCTGATTGGTTCTCTTGTCAAGCCTCTATCTATCAGTGAACTTTATGTGATTAAATGCTTTTAATAGTGAATTAAAAACAAATTCACACAATTCTGTTTCTGTTTCTTTCTTCCTTTTTCACCCCTCCACCACCACCACCATTTAGGCAGTCATGTTTGAGCAAGTCTGGTGCCTGTGGTTCATCTCTGCTGTTGGAGCTGTGAGTCTCTCTGCCCAGCAGATCAGCCCGTTTTGTGATGCCACTCACTTTTGCAACTATTCTTCAAGGGCTTTACGTGCAGTTCCTTCTGGGCTAGAAGATGATATTGTGAAGCTGGATTTGACCTCCAACAGTATAGAGCACATCGGGGAAGAGGACCTGAAGTTTGCCATCAATCTGAAAACTCTTTTGCTCCAATCTAACCAAATTCGGACAATTGATGGGAAGGCCTTCCGCTCCCTTGTAAAGCTGGAATACTTGGATTTATCAAAGAACAAACTGTCTCACTTGTCGCCCTCTTGGTTCAGGCCCCTTTCTTCCTTACAGAAGTTGAACCTAATAGGTAACTTCTACCAACTTCTTGGGGAAGCTCCACTGTTTTCTGAATTGCCAAAACTGAGATACCTGTACTTTGGAAATGGCAACTTCTCTGCTTTACAGGCACATGACATGGAAGGAATTTCAACTCTTGAAGAACTGGAAATTGAAGGACACAACCTCAAACAATATGTAGCAGGAACTCTGAAATCAATTAAGTTGATAAATCACATTATGTTGAATATTCCCCCCGATGCCACTTTAGCTGCAATTATATATGATGTTACAGATTCTGTGGTGTGTCTTGAACTGAGAAATATACAAATCCTTGATATGCCGCCCATTCCCTATTCTGATCCAGTGCTTCTTACAGCTGTGCAGAAAGTTATCCTTAGAAATGTTGAACTTTCGGATATGTCTGTCATTCAGATTGCACCCATATTTGCCCGTATGAAACAAATGCAAGAGGTAGAGATAGTAGATTGCAGGTTTGAAGGTACTGGGCAGTTTTATGGTCTTCAAGATGCTCCAACTTCCCTGCAAGTGATAACAGTCAGAAATTTGACAATTACCAAGTTTTATTCCTTTTCAGATCTTTCTTCTGTGACGCCTCTTGTAACAAACTTAACCAGACTTACACTTGAAAATGCATTTGTTTATTTGGTGCCCTGTGATCTTGCAAGGCACTTCTATTCCCTCCTGTATCTTGATTTCAGTGGGAATTTGTTGCTAGATCCGTATTTGAAAAAATCATTGTGTGCGGATGCCTGGCCTAGATTACAAACTTTAAATGTTAGTCGGAATTCTTTGAAGCAGATTTCAGTAGTAGCAGAAAGTGTAGCTCTTAGACGGCATCTTATTAACTTGGATATAAGTCAAAATAACTTTGAAGCAATGCCAGCCTCGTGTGTTTGGCCCAGAAGTCTGAAATTTTTAAATATATCTGGCTGTAAATTAAACATGCTCACAAACTGCATTCCTCGAAGTCTCGAAGTACTGGATGTTAGCCATAATAACCTCAAAGACTTCAGACTGAGCCTGCCTGACCTGCAGGAGCTTTACATCAAAGACAACAGATTGACAACCCTACCGGATGCTGCCTCAATTCCTAGTGCTAGAATCATAAATATTAGACGAAACCAAATATTCGACTTCAATGAGCAGCAACTTGTCAAATTTGCAAAAATCGAGAAACTGGATGCACGTTACAACAGTTTCCGCTGCTCGTGTGAATTTGTATCCTTCACGCAGTCGCAACAAGGACCATCTAATGTCTTTGTTGCCTGGCCAGAAAACTACATCTGTGACTCTCCAGAGCATGTAAGAGGGAAGCAAGTGGGAGCTGTTCAGTTTCGACCCTCTGACTGCCACCTGACTTTGATGGTGTCCTTAATCTGCATCCTGATGCTGTTGGTCGTTGTGGCGGCGGCTGTTCTTTGCCACAAGCTTCATGCCATCTGGTATATGCAAATGACCTGGGCGTGGCTTCAAGCGAAACGCAAGCCCCAGAGAAACCACAAGAAAGAAACCTGCTATGATGCCTTTGTTTCCTACAGCGAGCAGGACTCTGAATGGGTGGAAAACGTCATGGTGCAGGAGCTGGAGCAAGCTAATCCCCCATTTAAACTCTGCCTCCATAAAAGGGATTTTACGCCTGGCAAATGGATTGTGGACAACATTATCGACTCCATTGAGAAGAGTTCTAAAACTCTGTTCGTGCTGTCAGAGCACTTTGTACAAAGCGAGTGGTGCAGGTACGAACTCGATTTCTCTCACTTCCGGCTTTTTGATGAGAACAACGATGCAGCAATTCTGATCCTTCTGGAGCCCATTCCAGAGAAGACCATCCCCAAAAGGTTTTGTAAACTCAGGAAACTAATGAATACAAAAACCTACCTTGAATGGCCAAGGGATGAAGTTCAACAGCAAATATTTTGGTTTAATTTGAAAACGGCAATAAAATCCTAGCAGAGACTGTAGGGTACGAAGGGATGGGAGAATCTGTGGTTTCCTGTTTCTCTCAGCTTCTCATTTTACCAGCCTTAAGCTTTCCACTTTTTTACATCAGTTTGCACTTTACCAAAAAAAAAAAAAAAATTCCTTATGAGAATTCAGCTAATTTTTCCTTCATATGCACATTTCTGCAAAACCGTTTTGTGCGTTGTATATGTATTTTTATGTGCCCATGACCTCGGTGCATGCATTATTTGCAATACTTGGTTGAAAAACTGCATTGCGAAATTCAGAGAGTTTTGAAGACTGGCTGCATTTCTGTACAGTTTCAGAAAGTGCAGATTATATGAGTTTGCCTTTAAATGTGAACTGGATCAAATTTCTTCCTTGTCCCTGATGTATGTGATCCTTTCAGTCTGAGCTGTGTGCTTCACTCTTATGTGAAGCATGTAATAGGGTAGGCAGTTGGTAGCTGGGATGAGCAGATTAAAAAAAAGAGTATAGCACTCTTTCACCTTTAATAGTCTGCCTGTAAGATGGAATTCTCTCTTCTTCATAACTACTAAAGGTGCAGGAGTCCTAGTCCCTTAATTTTTTAAACCTGGCCACCTTACTGGCAGTCCAGACCCAGCCTAATCCTCAGGATTCCAGCACCTGACCCCCAAGACGACAGCTGAATCCTTTTTTTTTTTTAATGATATTTATTAAAATTTCAAAAGGAAAAAATTACATTAAAAAGAAAATTAACAGTAAAAAGAAAAAATACAAAATACAAAAAAGAAAAACCAATTAAAAACAATTCCATCTTTTCATCCCTTCTTTTACATTTACTTGTTTCCCAGACCTCCTCATACCTCCCTCTTTTGTATTCCAATTCAATTTATTAATCCAGCGATTCCTTTCCCTCCTTTTTAATCCTGATCTTTAATCCTGATATATTATAACATTAAATTTTTAGATATTAAAAACCAATTTTTCCATATTCTTTTATACCATTACAGCTAGAAACCACTTAACTTCAATCCAACATCATTCTAACATTCATTAATTTTGCAATATTTCTGTAAATAGTCTTTAGACGACAGCTGAATCCTAAGGCATACACCCTTTATGCAACTTTGCCTCCACACTGCTGCCAAAAAAATTAGCAAAGTGTAATGCCTCTCCATGGGACGTGGGTGGCGCTGTGGGTTAAACCACAGCGCCACTTGCCAGTCAGATGGTCGGCGGTTCAAATACCCACGACGGGGTGAGCTCCCGTTGCTCGGTCCCAGCTCCTGCCAACCTAGCAGTTTGAAAGCACGTCAAAGTGCAAGTCAATAAATAGGTACCGCTCCGGTGGGACGGTAAACAGCATTTCCATGCGCTGCTCTGGTTCTCCAGAAGTGGCTTAGTCATGCTGGCCACATGACCCGGATGCTGTCTGCAGACAAATGCCAGCTCCTTCGGCCAGTAAAGTGAGATGAGCGCCGCGACCCCAGAGTCGGTCACGACTGGACCTAATGGTCAGGGGTCCCTTTACCTTTACTTTTACTGCCTCTCCAGTTTGGACAGCAGCAGTTGCTCCTTTGGAGTGTTCCCTTTTGTGCCTCAGCTGCTCATATTTGCATGTAAGGCAGGACACCAGCCAATGGGAGCAAGCTGCACAAGCTCCTAAGGCAGGCATAGGCAAACTCTGCCCTCCAGATGTTTTGGGACTACAACTCCCATCATCCCTGACCACTGGTCCTGCTAGCTAGGGATGATGGGAGTTGTAGTCCCAAAACATCTGGAGGGCCAAGTTTGCCTATGCCTGTCCTAAGGCAAGGACAGTGAACCTGCGACCCACCAGATGGTGGTGGTTTATAGCTCTCACCACCCTTGCCTGAAGATGCATAGTGAAGAGGGACTGCCCCGCTCAGTGCTCTCAGTGCTTTGAGCTGTGCAAGAGCACATTTGTACAGGTTGCTATTTATACACTGGAAGGGCAGGAAGCACTTGCTGCGTGGTCAGAATGCTCTTTCAAGCTTGCTGTATGCTGCTTCACACATTGACTGATGCCATTATAGTTTCCTGTGTACCTGGTGTCTTTGCTGGCCAAGTCCTGCATTTTGTAACATCGTAATAAAACATTCTTATAAAACGCATTGTGGCTATATGGTCATGAATCATTCAATTGCACAGATACCCACAGAAGCTGATTCACAACCCAGTTAAATGAAAGTCCTTGGATTGATGCTAATTTAGCTCCACTGAAGAGTGACGGGTGAGGCTTATGACATGTTTATTGATGAAGGCTGCAATCCTTTGCGCACTTTTTTTTTTATAGTAGAGTGGTACCTCGGGTTAAGTACTTAATTCGTTCCAGAGGTCCGTTCTTAACCTGAAACTGTTCTTAACCTGAAGCACCACTTTAGCTAATGGGGCCTCTCGCTGCTGCCGTGCTTTCTGTTCTCATCCTGAAGCAAAGTTCTTAACCTGATGCACTATTTCTGGGTTAGCGGAATCTGTAACCTGAAGCGTATGTAACCTGAAGCGTATGTAACCCGAGGTACCACTGTATGTATGTCTCCATGTAGTCTTGGGGGAACTTGAGACCTATTTATGTCGGTGGAAGTTGTGTATATAGCATATGTGGCCATTGTGATTTTTACTATGAATCCTTTCGATCATGCTCCTTGTAGGAAAGAAAGTGGGAAGTTTATAATTATTCCCATTCATAAGAACGTAACAGCTTGCTGGATCAGGCCAAAGATATATTGAGTCCCTCTTGTACTTTCAACAGCCAACCAGATGCCTATAGAAAGTTGGTCAGGAGGAGTCAAACCCAAGAGCCCTCTCCCCTCCTTTCTAGCAACTGTTGTTCAGAAGCACACAGCATCAAACCATGGAGGAAGAGTGTTGCAGCCATAATGAATGCTCCTTCGATTGTGGGCACCCTTTGCAGGACTGCATGCAGCACCCCGAGCCATGTGGGACTTACCAGCTGGTTGTGCTGGCCCACCTCCCTGATGTCGCAGTCGTTGGGGCTTCCCGCCAAACCCCGGGTTAAATCCAATCAGCGGCACTGGTGGAGGCGGGGCCAGCCGAGCAGACCAGTGAGTGAGCAGGCTTCACTCAGGTCCGCTGGAGGTGAATATAAGGGGGCGGAGCCAACAGCAAAGCATGGCTTGCAGTCATTATCTCCATGAATGTGTTTAATCTTTTTAAAGTCATCCAAGTTGGTGGCAATCACTGCCTCCTTCAATTCAAGGGGAGGCATTTAAGTTTATGAAGGCCCTCCCTTCTCAGGTCCAATTGGCGTTGCCTCTTCTGGTTTTCTGGTGCCAGCTAAAAATGCATTCATTTGCCTAGGTCATTGGTTGATTTGTTCATTGGCGGAGATAGGGAAGGCTGTGCTTCTGGATCGATGTAACTTGCAGGGGGTGGTGGTGGTGATGTAACCTTTTGTTGGTTTGTATAATATGCTTGATTACAGTTCTTAAATTGTATGATGCACTGGGGTTATTTTGTGATAATTTAATATATTTTTTAATGATTATTATTTTAAGGAAGAGCAGGGGCTAGATATCCTTTAAAATAAATAAAAACACAACATATCTCCCCTATTGAACTCCATGAGGCTTATAAATGGTGAACCTTGGATTGTACATAATGCTGGCAACATAAGCCCCAGGGTTCCACCTGGCTTTTGGTCTCATTCATAGGTACAGTGGTACCTTGGGTTACAGACGCTTCAAGTTACAGATGCTTCAGGTTACAGACGCTTCAGGTTACAGGCTCCGCTAACCCAGAAATAGTACCTCAGGTTAAGAACTTTGTTTCAAGATGAGAACAGAAATCGTGCAGTGGTAGCAGAAGGCCCCATTAGCTAAAGTGGTGCTTCAGGTTAAGAACAGTTTCAGGTTAAGAACAGACCTCCAGAACGAATTAAGTTCTTAACCCACTTACTCTCACTTCACATATGTGATCGCAACCTTATGCAGGTGGGAGGGAATAAATAAATGGGGAGCAGGGGGAACCTGTTGTTCCCCTCTCTCTAATAATAATAATAATAATAATAATAATAATAATAATAATAATAATTTATTTTTACCCCGTCCATCTGGCTGAGTTTCCCCAGCCACTCTAGGCGGCTTCCAATCGAGTGTTAAAAACAATATAGCATTAAATATTTAAAACTTTTTTAAAAAAAAAATCTCCCCGCCCCCTTCCCATGCACCCAGCGGGTTCTCCTTGCTTACCAAGCTCTGGGAAGGAGATGCGAGGGCTTTGGCACGCTCCAAGAACTCCTTTCGCCTTTTCTGGAAGCATCCCAGAGGCTGGCAAGGAAAGCGCTGTCTTGCTTACTGGGCTCTGGGAAGGTGGCAAGAGGACTCTGCTAGTTCACCTTTGCACAAGGACCCCAGAACCAGACCCTTGTGTAAGTGGCAGACCAACTGTATATGTCAATAGTTTTATGTTTTGTATGTAAAGTCTAAACTGCTTCAGAAGGCATCAATAGCAAGGGTAAGGTAAAGGACCCTTGGACGGTTCAGTCCAGTCAAAGGCGACTATGGGGTTGTGGCGCTCATCTTGCTTTCAGGCTAAAGGAGCCGGCATTAGTCCACAGACAGCTTTCCGGGTCATGTGGCCAGCATGACTAAACTTCTTCTGGAGCAATGGAACACCATGACAGAAGCCAGAGTGCACGGAAACGCCGTTTACCTTCCCGCTGCAGCAGTACCTATTTATCTACTTGCATTAGGGTGCTTTCGAACTGCTAGGTTGGCAGGAGCAGGGGCCGAGCAACAGGAGCTCACCCCATCGCACACAGGCCAATCTTCTGATCAGCAAGCCCAAGTGGCTCAGTGGTTAGACCACAGTGTCACCCGCATCCCTAGTGAGGGTACATAAAGGCAGAAAGTGGAGGCTATGCAGCAAGATCTTTTAAGGCGTTGGCTCTGGTGTGAGGGTGGGAGGGAAACTATATGGGCCAGCTAATCATAAGATAAATAATTTCAAAGCAGAATTGCATTTCCAACATGCCATTGTCTATTACAAGCCATTAAATGTCACTCATTTTGAAAAAGAGTGAAGTGTCAGTTTTGGTCATGGTTGCCCACTTTGTGCTTTCTGCCTGACCTTTTTCTTGTAAAAGAAGAAGGGAAGGTGCAGTATTTTTGTGAACAAGTGATGACATCCCCAAAACCAGCCTGCACAGCTTTATGATAAAAGTGATGCTCACATCTACAGGATGTAACCATTGTAAGAGGAAAGCAGAAATCAATTTGTAAACAAATGAGCTGCTTAAGTGGCCTCTCTGTTTTTGCAGCCGTAGCTTAATTTAGCATTTCCGTTGCAATTGCAAATCTCTGCAAAAAGTAGAAACGCATCGCAAACTGTTTATTGCAGCAGCTATCACAGTCCTCCTGCATATCAGTACTTCAAGGGGGAACCTTTGGCTCTCCAGATGGTGTCAGACTTCCAACTCCCATCAGCCTCAGCCAGGATAGCCAGTGGTCAGGAATGATGGGAGTTCTAGTTCAGCAACATCTGGAGGGCCACAGATTAGCTGCTTATTAAAGAAAAGCTTTAATAAAAAGTATTTTTAAAAAACCTCCCCTAGACGGCAAACAGTAATAATGATTGCAATTATGCAGAGAGGTCAACACCATAGGAAATGAGGCAACAACTGTGACTGGTGTAAACATTTGGTGAAATTGTATCCTAATATATTGGACTCCTGGGGCCAAAATGATTGGTTGGCACGGCTCCACAGAAAACAATGGCGCTGACTGTAAATTTGGCTTTAAAGAGTCTTGTAAAGCCGGAGTCCCAACACCGACATAAGTTCCTAGTGAATCAGCCATGAAAACACACACACACACACACGGAGTAACTTTCTAAGGATTGTAAAAGTGTAAGCAGAATTTTCTTATGTGGTTTCAGTGTTAATTTGCTGTGAGTAATGTTGACAAGAATAGAATCGTAGAGTTGGAAAGAGCCTTCAAGATCATCCAGTCCAGTCTCCACACAAGAAACCCACAACATTCCTGAGAGGCAGCCATCTTGGCTCTGTTTAGAAACTTGTTTGTTTAGGTCTCCACTTTTGTTCACTTGTGTGTTTATTATGAATTGGTTTCTCACCTGCTCTTCACCATAAGGGACCCAAAGCAGGCTTGTGTCAAGTGCTTCCCTATCTCTTAACTCAGGTGTCAAAAACCAGGATGCATTAGCCTATGACAGACTGACTTCATGAAGGTGTCAGAGGCACCTCTATTGGGAGGAAATTCCACAACTTGGCTTCTCGGCCTTATTCATAGAAGCCAACTCCTGGGGGCTGAGGTCCCTTTGTGTCCCCCCCAATAATATATTTGAGGTCCCCCCCAAAATTGACATGCATTGCCGTTCAAATGGTGTTGCATGTGCCACGTCTTGTGATCGATTACGTGGGACAGGGCTTACCTCCTCCAATTTATATTCAAGTTGACATCCCTGCCCTTATTTATGTTCCACCTTAAGCACCAAGAGAAAAGGGACGCGGGTGGCACTGTGGTCTACACCACAGAGCCTAGGGCTTGCCGATCAGAAGGTCGGCGGTTTGAATCCCCATGACGGGGTGAGCTCCTGTTGTTCGGTCCCTGCTCCTGCCAACCTAGGAGTTTGAAAGCACATCAAAGTGCAAGTAGATAAATAGGTACCGCTCTGGCAGGAAGGTAAATGGTGTTTCCGTGTGCTGCTCTGGTTTGCCAGAAGCGGCTTAGTCATGCTGGCCACATGACCCAGAAGCTGTCTGTGGACAAACGCCGGCTCCCTCGGCCTGTAGAGCGAGATGAGCGAGCAGCCCCAGAGTTGGTCACAACTGGACCTAATGGTCAGGGGTCCTTTACCTAAGCACCAAGAGAGAGCCATGATAGATCAAGGGTCTAGCTAGTCCAGTATCCTGTTTCCAAGGTTGCCAGTCAGATGCTGCCAGGCTCACAAAGCAGGGCATGAGAGCAGCAGCCCTTTCTCATCATTTGCTCCCCAGAAACTGATATGCAAGAACACAGTGCAAGACCTGGTCTCCATTTATTTCTCTTCTCTTTAAGCCAGGGGTGAAGAACCTCTGGCCTGTGGGTCTCATCAAGTCTGCCAGCCCTGCCCATTTGGCATGCAAAGGCATTTTGGACAAGCAACACCCACTTCCCCATAACGTCTAAATTGGTTTGTGATGTAAGTGGGATGTTAAACAATTTGGATGAGGAGATCTGGGATGTTTCGTAATTGCTGCAAGTTGCAGGTCATGTGCATATTGAAAAAGAGCCATAAGTTAAAAGCAACGTTAGATTTATCGGCTAAATAATACAGAGGGCCTGATTGCTTACTGCAGCTTAAGAGCTGTGGTTTTGTTTACATCCGGTGCAAAAAACAACTCACCAAGCATGGATTTGGAACCAAGCAGTTCTCAGTGCAGCCTAGCAGAAAGCAGGATGTCTGTAAATAGGCATAAGGTAAGCTAAGCTTGTATTTTTGTTTTTTGCTGAAGGGAATTGTGCTGCGCTTTCTTTGCTGAGGTAGGTGTGAAAAGACATTGCATAGAGACCAGTGATGTTAGGCGGTGTCTTTAAAAAGCAGAACCAAAAAAACAGCCTCTGGTGGTTAACCTTTGGAGAAGCTCAGATTCTGAAAGATAGCTGTGTATTGGTTCACACATTGCTTTTGAATTGGGTAAAGGTAAAGGGACCCCTGACCATTAGGTCCAGTCGTGACCGACTCTGGGGTTGCTGCGCTCGTCTCGCTTTATTGGCTGAGGGATCCGGCGTACAGCTTCCGGGTCATGTGGCCAGCATGACTAAGCCACTTCTGGCGAACCAGAGCAGCGCACAGAAACGCCATTTACCTTCCCACGGAGCGGTACCTATTTATCTACTTGTACTTTGACGTGCTTTCGAACTGCTAGGTTGGCAGGAGTAGGGACCGAGCAACGGGAGCTCACCCCGTCACGGGGATTCGAACCGCCGACCTTCTGACCGGCAAGTCCTAGGCTCTGTGGTTTAACCTACAGCGCCACCCGTGTCCCATTTTTGAATTGGGTACATTCACATTAAAATATAAGCCAAACAGATGTTGCCCTCATCCATACTTTAAGCTAAACTAGCAAGGCATGCTCCTGTTGAGTGCGATCAGTGGTTCGAAATATACCTGAGCAGCTGCAGTATGTAAAATGGTAGGTTGCATACTGCTTAGGACCAGTCATGGGGTGAGGTGGAGGAGCCTGTAAATGTGTGCTCATAGAATCATAGAGTTGCAAAGGACCTTAACCTACTGGAGGATCTGCAGGCACCTAAAGATTTGGAGCTGATTCTATCCTGATAAGGGCCAATTGGAAAACTAAGATCCAAACTATGTATGTGACTGCAACATACAAGTAAAGCGCATTCCTTCCCCCACCCCAATAATTTTGGGAACTGTAGTTTGTTGTGGGTGTAGGGAATTGTAGCTCTGTGAGGGGTAAACTGCAGTTCCCAGGATTCTGTGGGGGAAGTCGTGTGCTTTACATGTGCGGTGTGCGAAGATTACCATTTAGCATATCTGGTTTTTGTTTTTAAATAGCAACCCCAAATAGGCGGATGGATGCAGTGGATCAAGATTGCATTGGGCACCTGCCGGTAAGGGAACTTTCCCTTCCAAACTGAGTATCAGCTTTTGGGAGGATGGTTTTCACTCAGAATACAGCACCCGGGGGGGGGGGATACCCCCCTTCCCATATGTGATGCAGTCCTCATCCCTATGGGGTTCCCCTATGGTTACTGCTTAAGTAACAACAACAAAATATTGTCTAGTTGGCCCCAACATTAGGGGAACAAAATCAAGAATATTATTTGTCAAGAACCAAAAAAATGGGGTCTGTCTTTGGTAAATATCTGGGAGTGCCTTGGAGTTTTGTTTTTAAATCACAGTACTTCTGTGGAGCACCACAAGTTTCATACCAAACATATACAAACCTTGCCCATTAAATCAGGCCTAGATCATCTATAGGCAGGTATTTGCAAAACAAAGAGCAAACTTCTATCATGGTTTTGACTTTCTCCCGTGAGGCAGTTTGTCAGCATGCTGTGCAATAAATTAACATTTTTAGGGAATATAAGTTTTCTTAGGGTTCGGTTTTGTTACTATAATCTGCCTATATATTGTATATTACAATTGCTATTCTCCTTACTTGCTTTAGCTATGTGGCTTTTCCCACCAGAAAGTAGGAATTCAGCTCTTAGAGTGTCCCCTGCTGGATAATTTGCAGAACACATGCCCAGGGATTCCGAGCTTGAAACTTAAATGGAAAAACAATATTGCATATAACCATACATTTTGCTTAACAGTTTGCATGGGGTGAAGCCTTTGCAGATGATCCAGGGTGGGTTCAGTCCCGAAGTCACAGTCCAGTGGAGTCCTCAAAGCAACCAATCAGTGGTCCATCAAGGAAGAAAGATGAACAGATGTAGAGTCTTGCTGCCCTTTTTCTTGATTGATGCACCTGCATTTCCTTCAGCCAAGCAGCTCTCCACTTGACGAGACATGATCCTCACCTGCCCTGAGCTTAATCCAGCTGAGTGACCACAAACCTCCTCCCAGACCTAACAAGCCCCATGATCTCCACCTGGTCCACTAACGAGCTGGGCTGTGTTTCCTTGCCTGCCTCAAACTCCTAGAAGACGTCCTGCTGTTCCTAACACCTCAGAGCCCACAGTGTCTGCAGAGATGGGACTACCTCTGGTTTGGATGAAGTGCCCCCTTCTCCTGATGTCCTGTGAGTACCTCCTAAGCCCCCAACCTCCCCTTCCCCATCTTCAGCCTGTCCTGATGTGTACTAATCAGAGCCATCCACCTCGCTGGGATCCTCTTCCCCTTTCTTGGTTGGCTGCCAGTTTATGGCAGCCAGCAGGCCTAGTACCTGAAGCCAGGTCCCTGTAGAACATGCCCAGTTTGTGTACATGACCAAGCCATGAATTGTGAAAGATGTGTGTATATATTTGAATATGCCCTTATGTGTTGCCTGGCTTTAATTGGGCAGGGCAAGTGGTCACAGCTGGATTCAAGACACCATCATGGTTGTGGCAGTGGCTGTACCAGTTTTCAATCTTTCTTTGTGGTGCAAGGAGCTTTTCTGAGAGGGGCAGAGGGAGGCAAGCAAGGTGGACATAGACACTGGCCAGGACCCTTCCTTGTGTCCCTCATTCATGGCTAGAGTATAGTTCTCCAAGTCTGTCCTTAGACCAAATGATGCCCTAGCAAAGGAGTCTCTTTGATTCGTCCTCCATTTTTTTAAAACTTATTTATTTTCTTTTTAGGCTAACTGGGAATACAAGTAACTCACAACTTAGGTGCATTCAGTTTTATATGCTTGGCAATTTATTTATTTTTTAAATTTTATTTAAAGGGGTGGAAATGGGGCAGGAAAAAAGAGACTTTAGCAATCCCACCCAAAACTGAACCTGATGTGTTCGGGCTCTATGCGATTTTGGCTTTACTTGCTATCCACGCATTGTAGCCCCTGCGCCAGCTGAGAGTTTTATTTTGAATTTGTAATTAATTATATGAATGATTTATCTCAGTCATAGTGTAAATTTGCATGTACCGATCTGATTGGTTAAATTTGCACCATATGTTTGAATGGACATTGGAGTTAGACATTTCCCTCCCATGAACAGTTAAAAATTTGTTGTAGCTGTATAAAACTGGCCCTATATGCCCCAACTGGAATTGAACTATCAAAAATGGAAGAATGGCTACATATGTACCATAGGTTTACAGCTCTCGACTTCCCACCAAAGAAGCCTAAGAACCGTAGTTTGTTAAGCGTACTGGGAATTATAGTTCTGCGGTGGGTAAACTACAATTCCCAGGATTCTTGTCATGTGCTTTAAATATGGTGTGTGTATGCAGCCAGTTACCTGTAGCTGGAGAGAGGGGGTGAAGCCCAGCACCAGTTATTGTCCCAAAGGACCCGTGGGAATTAGTGGTTAATCTGAATATGATTCAGTTGGCTCAGTTTTTAAAATGTCAAATTAGTTAACAGCATCATTTACAACTGTTGCTTGTCTTGCTCAAGCTAATAAGAGAAGCGAGATGGCCGCTCTCCCAAACTGTGATATCTATATGCGGTGCATCTTCGTGACTTCAAAGAGCCAGGAGAAGCTGATGACTTCTGCTTTAGTGTGTTTAGCAGTCCATTTACCTTCCATCCCTCATTGTTCCCTTTCACAACCTAATAAGGGGAAAATGGCGGTGTAAATAAATAACAAAAAGAGAGGTTCCACAATCGGGCCTGTTGTGGTTGTAATGCTCCCTTGAAAGGAAGCTGTCTGGGGTGTGAATGGGCAGCTCCTGGCAGGCAGGAGCAAGGGAATTAAATGACTTGGCATTGGACAGTGGCAGCCAGCAGGGTGCATGTGGCCTAGTGAAGGGACAAATGATGGTTAATCTGGCCCCTTGAAGATCTAATTGAGAGGACATTGTTTAACTCTTTACCCGTAACTAAACTGAAACTTGAAAAGCCTTCGGACACATCTGGCTGCTACCCCACTTCAAAAGCTTAATAGCTAAATAGTGGATCTAAGCCTCGGACAGAAAGCCAAGATTTGACGAAGTGAGCACAATGCACTTTACCCTCTTATGCAGATTAACCGTCTTGCAAGGCTATTATGTGCTGGAACTTCGGTGCTGCATTTTGATATCAGCCGGTATTTTGCCAGAGCAGCATCGCTGCAGGGTAATTGAGTTGTGTGGCCTAATGCTAATTGCCCACTTCTGGATTCTTCACTAGATTTGGCGATGGGAGAGAAAGCGTCCTCATGCAGGGCTTCGCAGACTTTATTAAGGGTTCCGCCGGTTGTCCTTTGGCCTTGCTTAGAACCTGTTTTGTCTGTGACACCCTGTGACCTGGAAATCACCCGTCGATTTAACGCTTTGTGTAGCTTTGTTTCTGGGTGCTCACTTCTGACAGGGTGGCGACCTAATCACCAGCTTCCCATGACCTAGTCACCGTATGAGATTTACTGGCTTGGAATCTAATTTCTTGGAAGCTGTACCCAAATAATGGGATATGCATGTGGCGGGGTATGCTCTGTAAAAAGAGTATCTACCTGTTGGGCAAGGATTATTTCTACTCGGAAGTTCCACCGGAAAGCCTATGGTTCTTAAATCTTTAGTGCAATATTTTTAACCATTTTACATACTTATATATTTAAACATCTCTGGAGACATTTTAAATAAACTTTTAAATAATGTTTAAGTAGTGTGTGTGTTGCAATTAACCTTACTCCAAAACAAAAAAGGATCCACAGCAGTGTTTCATAGGTTCACAGCAAAGCAGGGCATATTAATTTAGGCTTAAAGGGAAGGTGGCTGTCCACCCTCTAACCTGTACTTAAAGTCAAGAGAAAAACTTTGGTTGCCATCTAAACCACAACTATAACTGTGCTGAAAACCAATATTCTTTTTAAAGTGCCATTGAATGAAAAGAACAGTGTATAATCAATAGAATAAAGTGCATCATTATTGAACAAGGGACAGTCTCCTCCAAAGCTTGTTATATCCCTTTTGGGGGGGGGAGAAATTAAAACAGGGTCGAGAAAACCTTTGGCCCTGGACTCTAGCTCATATCAGCCCCAGCCAGCATTGCCTGGGATAGCTCAGTTGGTAGAGCACGAGACTCTTAATCTCAGGGTCTTGGGTTTGAGCCCCACGTTGGGCAAAAGACTCCTGCATTGCAGGGGGTTGGACTAGATGACTGCCAAGGTCCCTTCCAACTTTACAATTCGGTGATCTCTAGGAATGGCCAGGGATAACAGGAGTTGTGCTCCAACATTTGGAAGGCCGTGTAAGATTACTGAACTGTGGGCGTTTTGTTCTATTAGCATTCTGTAATGGCAAGGCATGATTGTTGCGCACACTAATACCTGCTATATGCAATGTTTCTCTGTGCTGAGCTGTGGAACCCAACCGAAAAGCTGATGCTGTGTGTGTACTCAGACCCCTGACATCATTTATTCTCTGTTGAGCGGACAACCCAATCTACCCTTTTGTTTCAGCCCTGGGTGTGCTGGTCCCGAGGGTTAACCGTGCGGCGAGGTCCAAGTCCAGTCCGAGGTCGAGGGTTCAGTATGGAAGCTGTCCGTCAAGGCTGAAGCTGGGTCCAGGGCAGGGAGTCGGGTGAGGTCAGGAACTCTGGCAGAAGAGCAGGACAGGGTGCAGGCAGGAACAGGCTACCAACAATGTTGCTCCCGCAACCTGGGACTGGGGCTGGCTGGCTTTTATCTGCCCCGAGGCATAGGGCGGCCCTGGTCCACAGGTGACTCACCTCTCCTGGCCTGGAGGCGAGCACTCCTCCTGGGGGAACTTAGTTCCCTACGCCTCTCTGCCCTGAGTCTCTGCAGTTCAGGAGAGGCTGGAGGGTTACTGGACCCAGAGGCAACCTCAGCTTCCCCTGACAGGGCTGAGAGTGGAGCACCTGCAGGCAATGGGTCCTCCATCACCTCAGGAGCCAGAGCAGGTGAGGACCCTTCAGGCTCAAGCCCCAGCCCCGGCTCAGCTGGTTCTGGAGGCGGGGACTCCTGTGCAGGCTGGGATTCCTCAGGTTCAGCCTCTGAGTCTGAATCCCAGGCCATCACACTGCGTCTTCATCAGAGAATAACTTTGGGGCACTTATTTCTTCCCAATGGATTGAGCCAACAGTTTGTAGTATGTGTGTGATGTTGAAAGGGCTTGATGAGAGCTTGGTATATGTGTATGACCTTGATGAGAACCTCATCCATGTGTACTTTACCAAACGAGAGCTGTTCCAGGTTTCTGAAGATATTTACATGGAAAGTGCAAAAAGACTGTGCCTGCATGACTCATGCATAATCTTTGTCGGCTCTTTCTTGCGGTCCTGATGATCGTTCAGAGTTTTGGCTGTCCTAAGCTGAATAGTGCTGGAAGTCAAAAATATCTTCAGCAATAAAGAAATAGCCAGGGAAGCGTATGTTTGAGGAAAGTGCATGGAGTAGCTCAAACCAAACAATTTCATCTGCATCTTTTAAAAGCATTCTATCCTGGACACCTACAAATGCTACTTCAGTAAGAGAATCTGGTGAAGTTTAATTTACAGTTACCACATTACCCACCTTAATGTATTTGGGGACCATGCTGTGGTCACATCTAAACGGGATGGATATATTACATCTAAGGATACAAACATGTAGAATATGGCAGGCTTTCATGGGCCAATGTTGGTGGGACAGAGGATAAATAAAAAGTTCTGGTTGTATGACAAGTAAAATAAAAATAGCTAGATAGTATGGAGGTAAGACTTATTGCTCACAGCCTCATTTGATCCCCCAAAGAACAAAGACAAAGGGTAAACTATGATGTAAAGTTTATATACAAGAATATAAGGTTTATCTGGAATATTTACAAGGTTTGTTAAAGTAATATTTTACAACTCTTTCAGAATAACCACTACTTATATTACAGTTAGACTAAGGAAAGGTTTAATTTGTGAAGGCAGTAGTACCAAAATAGCACAAAAAGAAACCTTCCTAAAATGTGCATTGAGCCAGTTTAAAACTATTAACAGGTTTGTATAAAATACTGTGTGCAAATGGTTAATATGCCTTTATTGACGCAGTTCCTGCATAAGTAGCACATGTGACAATCGTACTTTCCCTATAGTGAATAAAAATAGGGGACATGTTTATCTTGGGTAAAATGTGGTCCAATATTCAAGGTCAAAATGAAACAGAATGCCCACAATTCAACACGGATTTATAGTGCAAACCTAGGCATGTTTACAGAAGTAAGCCCCACTAAGTACAAACTCCAGGATTGGAACTTTAAGCTATGCGCAAGCCCACCAAACTCAGAGGACTTAAAGCAATCCTTTTAGCTCTGTGTTGAATTGTTGCCCCAAATGGAAAAGTGTCTAAGTGGCAATCCTAGCTCTCCTTTGCCTCAGAAAGTGACTTGACATCGTTGTCAGATTCCCTTTCAAATAGACCAGAAAGTAGCCATATCTGGGCTTTACTATCTTCTGAAGATCTATCACAAGAAAGGGCAACAACATTTCATGGAGCCCTTTTCGCACTGCATCAAAACTGAACCTGACCAACTGGACTTGAAGATTAACAAAACTAACGTGTAACATAACCTATACAGAAATGTTAGCCGCACTGAAGGACTGTTCAAAATGGAAAAACCAAAACAAAAGATTAAAAAAATTAAAGTCACATTTTGCACCGATGCAAATAGCTAGCTCTAAGCAAGATACTTTAATACAATCATAAAAAGTATTCATGTTTTTGTGGTTTTTTTTGTAATGAGAGTTTTACTATATGTACAAAATTGGGGAGGGGAGGTTCCCCTTTCCTCTCCCTTCTCCCCCACCCCAAAGAAAGAAAGAAACGACGTTTCGTCTCCCACCCACGCCTGCTGTGCTTTGCAGTGGAAGCCAGGAGGTGCAAGGCGCTTGGAAGAACTTGAGGCTGGTGACTAGACAGGGCCAAACGTGGCAAGCAACTAGCACTGCAGTTTGCGAATGCTGCGCGAGAACCTCTTGAATGCTCGCTGACCTTTCTGCCATCGCTTGACGGAGGTGATTACCAGCTCGCCAGCCATCCGCTGTCCCATCACTAAGTAGGGTGCGTTTATATCGTTCATCTCGTCGCAGGTACACTGCAGGCCACCTTTGAGCCAAAGCACCGTTTTCTTCAGATCCCTTTCTGTCACCCCATTCAGCTTGTAGATGGTTTTGCTCTTTGTTTCCGGAGTGATCTTGGTGTCCCCATTGATGTAGGCGATCTCCTTCACTTTTATCTTCAGGGCTAATAGGGATAACGGGGAGCGGGGAGGGGGGGCACGTTGAAAGGAAGAAAGAGAGCGAGAGAGCGAGGTTTTTCCCATTAGTGCAGATAAAGAGAACCTGGGGAGGGAGGTCTTCTATTGCTAATTAAACTGTCAGGGGCTGACAGAACGGACAGCAGGTGGCTCCATTTCTAAAGCCACCAAGGGCATGCAAGTCATTTCAGTTTGAATCAACCTTGGGGTGTGTTTCTTTCTTTCTTTCTCTTTTAAACAAAACTTTTCTAAGTGGGCCTTTTTTCTCCAGCTTTTCTCTCTCTCTCTTTCTCTCTCGTTTGCAAACACAGGAGGAGGGGGTGGGGAAACCAGGCCCCCCATTTTTGTACATTAATTATGCATTAAGGTTTCAACTTGGCACAATGTCTTCTCACCAAAGCTGCTGGGGTGTGTGGGGGGAGAGGCCTACGATTCGTAGGGAATCTGATCGCGGCTGTTGCCAAGATCTTGAGGCTTAATTTACGAGGTTAGGAAGATTCTTAGGTGAACCTGTAAGGAACTGACATTGCTTGTGTGCTGTATGCAAAAGAACAGGCCAAAGAGGAGGAGAATTGGTTTAACAGCTGCATTTGATTTGGAAAAATAACTGGAAGGAGGCGGGAGGAACACAAGGCTCATTAAGAAACCTACACAGCATGCTTCACACACACAGAAAAAAAGCCACCAAGAAAATGTTTATCTGAATATCTCATACTGGATGTGCCACATGAAAACTTAAAAGACTAGTTACACAAGCAGTAAGTCATTGTCTTTGCAATTCCCTTCTGATAAGAATATTATCCCTGTAAATTCCACCACAAATACTTTCCCAGCTCTAATCTGATAAAATTATAGCATGTGTTTATAATAATAAACTTTATTTCTATGCCAACTATTTTCTCATACGTTATCTGCCTCACTCAAGAGGCCTTTCCAATTACCAGCCCAGAAATGTTTATGTCTTGTAGGGATATGCCACCCATCTCACCTCAGGACTGCCATTCTCAATCTGCATCCGCCAAAGCAGTTCATGGCATGCTGGGTTTTCTGAAGAAACTTTGAGAAAAGAACAACTCTGGAATGCAAAGGCTTTGCCATGACTCTTGGGAATGAACGTTAAGATCTGTAAAGCACTTTGCATGTCAGAAATGCCATAAAGACCAGGTGGTTTGGAAACAAATGAGGACGAACCTCAGCCCCCTCTCACATCTTTGCAGCTTTCTCACCGCCCAATAATCCAAGTCAGGAGGAATCCTTTCTGACTTCGTTCCCATCAGACTGGGTGCTCAGCATTCCCTCCCTCCCTCTCCATGAGAAGATGGGAACTGGAGAGGATAAAGCCTGATGCTCTCAGATTCACAGCAGGACAGGAGTTCAGCCTCCCCTCCCATTCACCCCCTCCCCCTGCAGAAGGATCAGAAGGGAAACAGAATGGAGCCAAGGTCCTCAGCACAGCTCTGCTGCCTGGGTCTACTTTGAAAGGCTCCCAGTTGCATCCATCCATGAGTATCGGTGTAGCACACAAGCAATGGTCAGCAAAGTATATGCGGAATATACTTTAAAATTTTATGTTGCCTTTGGTACACATGGTAGAGAATGCCATGCATATCTACAGAAGATGCTGTGATGCTCCAGCATTACTGCAGATGATTTTTAAAATACACAAATATTTTATGTGTTGTTGCTGTGATCTGTCATATTCAACGATGACCAGGCTATGGGACCTAGGGTGGGACTATACAGATGAAGATGTAACAATAGTTTGATGAAGGTAGAAGCCATAGAAAATCAATCTGATCTCTACTGACTGCCATGGGACAAAGTATATTATGCAAAATGTAAAAGGAGTGGAGGAGGAGGAGCTTCTACCTTAATAGGGGCCCCACTACTTTCTTCCGCATAAGAGAATGTCTGCCAGTTGCTCCTATGCAAGGAAGGAGGAAAATGAGGCACATGGTAGGGGTAGATCTATCCACTGCTGCTGATGCTGAGTGCTTGACTGGTACCAATAGGGACCTCATGCAGTTTGTCTTCTTCCATAGCTTTCAATTAACAGATGCTGACACTACACAGGTACTATAAGCCACACTGACATTCACTTTGTTAATAAGAAGTGAAACATGGTTGCCATGTTTATTCAAAGGCAGAACTCTAAACAACTTGGAAGCTTGCTACCCTATTGGCACTACTTATCCTAACCGGCTTTGATTGTCCCATTGCTAATACCAATGCCGGAATCTACTTGATTCTGAAGAAAGCTAAATGCCGGTTCTGTATGTGTCTTGCAAAACTGCTTGGTTATCATGGCAGACAGTACGACAACTCTTCCCCATTTTTAATTAGAGTGACTTTAAACAACAACAACTTACCAAAGTCATTTTTGCAGAGGTTTTCCACAATTTCATTGTCATCCTCATTCTTGCTTTTGCAGGCATCACAAACTTTTGGTGCTAGAATGAAATATATTTAAAGAAAGAAAAGAAATCTTCAGCAGAGATGTTCAAACGAGAACAGCAGGTGGCGTTTGGAAACAAAGTATACTCCTTATATATCTATATATACAGCTGTGGCCGCCAGATTCTGCCTTATTCTTGAACCAGTTCCAAAAATCAGCTCCCAAACCCATAAAGTTGTGATCCAGCGCTGAATATCTGGTGAGTAAGCCACACTGAAAACAGTGGGACTTACTTCCAAGCAAAGCAATACATAGGATTGCTCTGCACATCAGCTGCGTTGAACGAATTTTAAGGCAAGAGGGAAGACCCTGTGAAATACAAAGGGAAAAACAGCAGAAAGCAAGATGTATAGCCCTCAATGCCTTCGCCAGAAGCTACAGGGACAGCTTATAGTGTACTCTGAGCTTAAAAGAGTAAAAGCATTTTGTTTTAGTTTGGAAATAATAATAGCTGAAAGAAAACTAAACAGTCATGCTAAAGAAATATCTTGCAAATTCAGTGGGAAGGCTCAATGGGATATTGAAAAGGCAATGGATGTGAAGGAGATTAAAGCTTTCTCTCCCCCCCCCCAACCATCCTTAGGCTCTCCCAGGAGGAAAAGAAATCAATGCCTTGATCGGGGGCATTGAGTGGAGGAAAGGAGAGTGACAATACAATACACAAGGTTTCCCTGATGGGTTTGCTTCAGAAATCTGCCCTCTTCTTTTCTCTCCTTTATTTAAAAACTTGGGAAAGTGTCACCCTCCCTCTCTCTCGGTTCCCCCCACCTAGCTAATTAAAACCATCTAAACTGTGGCTGAAAGCATTTAATTTATTTATTTAAAATGAGAAGACATGACTTTGACACTCTGCATTTGATTCCTTTATCAACAAATTTATTTAGTATGTTCCCTCTCCATATTCTTATCAGTAGGGGTGGGTGAGAGAAACCATCAATTAAACAAAATGCAAACCTCCACAACAGTTTAAAACAATGCTAGCCAGTTTAAATAGGACAACCTGAGCAGCAGGACATCCAACTAAGTCATATTTAGATTGCAATCAATGAGCTTACTTAAGCCTGTTTCAATGGGTTTGCTCTGAGCATGGGCTAATGGGTTGAATATGATGTTGATATTACAGTTACAGAGTACTGTGACTAACACAACTTGTGAGTAAGCCCACTCTCATTAAATGAAATTTACTTCCATGCGAACATGGACTGGACTACTAAGAGTGCACTGAAGTTCATCAGGTCTAAGACTGTAATCCTATAAGCATGTTTACTATGCGATTTATGGGACTTTCTCTGAATGAACAAATCTGCAGTTGTAGATTTGAAAAAACCTATTTGCACCCTGACAATTACACACTAAACATACTATAAGCTTAACAGTGGAATTCTATACCCACTTACCTGGGAGCAAGCCCCACTGAACCCAAAGTCATTTATTTCTGAGTATACATATTTAAGATCCCACTGTAAGTCTCAATGAATTCAGCTTGGCTTCATTCTTATTAACTGTGCTTAGGACTGCACTGAGCATTTCAGACCTTGGAAAATTGTAAACCTGTGGCGTTTGCTTTGTTAAACTGTAGTTTTCTGGAGTAAGGGGCATCCACTGAATCATTGTTTGGTGCTGTGATGGTCTGAAAACATATCTGAGGTTCTGGAGTGATTAAAGCATATCTATAGTTGGACCCTGGATGTTGAAAAGTAACAGTTCCATTGTACTATAGGAGGCTCTGATTCTTCCCTTCCAAAAAAGATGCCATTTATTAAAGCTGAGATATTTGATAAGAAGAGGGTTTTTATTATGTGGCTTTGCTATGTTTGATACCTTATTCCTTTAAAAAAAAGGGGAGGCAAGCAATTCACTCCTAAACATTCTTATCCATCCAGGGGAGTCTGCTGACTTCAATGGCACTAGCTTTGGGGTAAATGTCCTCAGGTTGGCAGATTAAGCCTGCAATCTGATTCATGCTCACCTGGGCAAAAACCCAAGTCAACGCATTGCGATTTGTCCCCAAGTAAGTCAGGCTGCTTGGTTGCAGTCCCTGGGCACATTCACTTCGGAGTAACGCCACTGAACTCAACGGGATTACTTCCAATTATGCACTTCAAGGGGTAGCCAATCCTTCCCTCCCAGAAAGACTTTCGAAGCATTCCTCTGCACGGTTATTCACTCAGTAAGTCCCCCTGCTTTCAGTGGCGCTTATCCTCTAGGAAATGTGACGAGGAGCCCATTGGAAATGCCCACGATCGCCGTCGGGAATCTGCTTCCCGCAGGCGTGCCTAGCGCGCGCTCCCCATGGCGCAAGCTCCGTCCTTGCGCTCGCCCTGCTCGCAATACTGGTGCCCGCAGGCGCCCTCTTACCTTCTCTGGGAGTCGGCAAGACGTGCTCGCTGCTGGCCGGCGGGATGCACAGGTCGTTGTCCTGCGGGAAGCGGCTACAGTCCAGCATGTCCGGCCACGGGAAGCCGAAGGCGGACATGACGGGCGCGCAGCTGTCCTTGACTTGCTCGCACAGCGAGTGGCAGGGCTGGATGGTCTCGTCCAGGTCGTCGATGCAGACGGGCGCGAAGAGCGAGCAGAGGAACTTCCTCGTGTCCGGGTGGCACTGCTTCTGCACCAGCGGGATCCAGGCGCCCGCTTGCTCCAGCACCTCCTGCATGGTCTCGTGGCCCAGCAGGTTGGGCAGCCGCATGTTGGGGTACTCGATGCCCCGGCACAGCTGCAGCGACGTCGGGATGGGCTTGCAGTTGGAGCGCTTGTAGGAGAACTCGGGCTGCCCGAACAGGAAGAGACCCCGCGCCGAGCCGATGCAAGGCGTGGCGAGCGCCAGCAGGCACAGGAAAAGGGCGCGACGCTGCATCGCGGGTCCGGGGAGAGGAATCTGGAGGCTGCAGGGGTGGGCCTGCTTTCAAAAGGGTCCGCTCTTCTGGGGATCCAGGAGGCTGGGGCGGGTATCCGAAGGCTGCAAAAAGGCAGAAAGAGAGAGAGAGAGAGAGAGAGAAGGGTGCAGAGAAGAGCGCGCGCGCAATGCTCAGCTTCCCGCAGGCTGCACGCAGCTTTTGCAAAGCGCTCCTTTCCCCGCGCCGACGGCCACACTGACCCCAGACGCGAAGCGCAGCGGAGCTTTCTGGCAGTTTTCTTATGCAAATCGAGAGGGGCCCGTTGGGCGGAGCCGTCTGACAATCTGCCGGCAGGGATTGGCCGCGACTAGCTGGGGGTGGTCGTTCCCCCCCTCCCCCGTGGTCTCTCCCCGCGTGGTTGATCTTTCTGGCGAGATAACTAGCAGGAAATGTTTCGGGACGCGCGGGCGCGCGCGTGCGTTTTTAACTAGGGCGAGCTGAACTGGTTTCATGAGGCGCAATGGCAAATGCACTCCCCAAGATAAACTGTTTCAGTGGAAAATCTGAAAAGTTTATTTTTAAAAAACAACAACAGCAGCAGCAACAACAACCGTTGCCTGAAAGTAATTTGCAGTATCTGAATGACCTGCTTCCATTATTCAACCACTATCTGGAAGGAACCTAAATGAGAAGAGACGACTCCCTGGAAAAGACCCTGAGGTTGGGAAAGATGGAGGGCACAAGGAGAAGGGGACGACAGAGGACGAGATGGTTGGATAGCGTCTTCGAAGCTACAAACATGAGTTTGACTAAACTGCGGGAGGCAGTGGAAGACAGAAGTGCCTGGCTTGCTCTGGTCCATGGGGTCACGAAGAGTCGGACACGACTAAACGACTAAACAACAACAACAAAAATTGCTACATCCTAGAGCAGCACATTCTGCAGTTTAACTATGTGGCTTGTGAATAAGTATCTCTTTTTGTCTGCCCAGAATCCTCCAATATTTAACTTCATGGGATGACTTGGTTTCTAGTATTACTAGAAAGGCAGAAAGGCACATTCCCCCAATTTTCCCACACCATGACATAAAGATGTTTTCCTTTCCAGCAGATTTTTATATTTCTCCCAAAATCTATACAGGTTCTTCCTAAGGATATGGTTCATAAAACGTTTATAAATTTTTGCCTTCCCATACCAAAGGCATGCATGCGTAGCTTGAATTCTTTACATTTGATTAGTGCATGCGTAAACACTTGTAGTCTAAACCACAGAGCCTAGGGCTTGCCGATCAGAAGGTCAGCGGTTCGAATCCCTGTGACGGGGTGAGCTCCCGTTGTTCGGTCCCTGCTCCTGCCAACCTAGCAGTTTGAAAGCACGTCAAAGTACAAGTAGATAAATAGGTACCACTCCAGCGGGAAGGTAAATGGCGTTTCCGTGCACTGCTCTGGATCGCCAGAAACAGCTTAGTCATGCTGGCCACATGATCCGGAAACTGTACGCCGGCTCCCTCGGCCAATAAAGCGAGATGAGCGCCGCAACCCCAGAGTCGGTCACGGCTGGACCTAATGGTCAGGGGTCCCTTTACCTTAAGCAACAAACAAGTTGCCAGATCAATTTTGCATCTCTCTTTCTCCCTTTCTGTTTCCTGCTATATCTCTCCAGTTCTCTTTTTCTCACAACAATGAAAATAAGAAATTCCTTGTTAAGAAATAGACCAAGCTAAGGGTTAAGTTGAGGGCACCTGCCCTTTAACATATTTGCCCCTTTGCAGAGATACCAGGAAGGGTTTGATATAAAATGACATTTTCTAGTAAAGGGATTTCACAAGTTCGGCTTTATTAGGATGGCTTCAAGATTTCTTTTTTCTTGCTTCCATGAAATGTTTCTAAGAATAGGATTAGATTTTGCACAAGGCTCCAGTTTCCCTTTTTAAAACTGGTATTGCGTTTCAGCCTTTCTAAGTGAAATTGTGTTTCAGGACCATCAGTTTTAAAGAATAGGAGAGGAGCAATAGCACACCAGTATATAAAGCTTTTCTAAAAGGTAGCTTAGCTTTAGACCAGAAGGACCATTGATATTGTTCAAAGGTTCCTGTGTACACAGATGAGGAAGCTGTGTTTGGTACTATGCAGAATGTTTGCAAATAAATGTGCTGTTATATATGTCTGACTTTTAGTAGTGGGCTCGTACAAAATAACTAACATATGCAAAAGGCATAATGCCAGCTCCCACAGGTCATGGAGCTGGCATTACAAATACCCTTATTCTGTTCCAGATGTGATTAGTGCTGTAATAGGACAGCATGACCCACAAACTGGCTTTTTGGGAATAGGCTGCACAGACTGCATCCAAGGGCTGCCTTCCCTTAGCCCAACTGGTGGTCCATAATGTCATCTCTTCCTCCCATCTCTACCTCACTATTTCACATGGGAAAGGGAACTGGTGACAGCAGTTCTGTGAGGTAATAAATGTTTTATATTGCCCATGGAACATATTTCTAAAGCCAGATATGAACACCCCTCGCCCCCAAATACATGTGAGCTTCTTACCTTACAGAATTGTCACCACATTCCTGTATACAATGGCACCTTGATTGTCAAACTGAATCCGTTCTGGGAGTCCATTCGACTCCCAGAACCATTTGAAAACCAAGACGCAGCTTCCAATTGGCTGAAGGAGCTTCCTGCACGCAAGCAGAAGCCATGGAAGCCGCGTCAGAAGTTCAGCTTCCAAAAAACGTTCGCAAACCGGAACGCTTACTTCTGGGTTTGCGGCATTCAGGAGCTGATTTGTTTGGGAGCCAAGCCGTTCAGCAACCAAGGTACCACTGTACTGTGCAGTATCACACAATAGATTATCATAGAGTAGACAAAAGAGAGTGGACCAACAACCTGGATGGCTTTCAAAGAGGATTAGATAAATTCATGGAGGATAAGTCTATTGATGGCTACTTGCCATGATGGTTATGCTATGTCTTCATAGTCAAGAGACAGTAATACTTCTGAATACCAGTTCTTTAAAACTGCCGGAGGGGAGAATGTTGTGGCATTCGGGTCCTGCTAGTGAGTTTCCCACAGGCATCTGGCTGAAACCTGTGAAAACAGGCTGCTGGACTAGTTGGGCCATTGGCCTGATCCAGCCGCCCTTCTTATGTTCTTATGCTCAGATCCACACCATACATTAAAAGCACATTCAGTGCACATGACTTTCCCCAAAGCATCCTGGGAAGCTTGTTAAGGATGCTGGAAACTGTAACTTGGGGGGGGGTGGCGGCTTGGGTCCACAGGATTGGGTTGAGAGCCCAGAGAGCAGCAACATGGATGCCACAGGTATCCATATTGTATGACAAGATGGAAAGGGCTTCTGAAGAGAAGGGAGGTCTCTGCCAAGTGATTCCTTCCCCAGCAAGTCCTTCCTGTCTTCCTTCTCCGTGGCTTGACCCAGCTCTCCTCTCCTTCTGCTCCATGCGCTCACTCCAATAAAGAGCCATCATTTCACGCTTAATTGGGAATGAAACTAATGAGATATTTATGGCCCTTGGCTGCATTTTCCCACGTACTGAACACACTAGAGGACGCTCCATCCTCAAGAGCCCTTCTTGGCTTGGCCAAAGGAGCTCTGGGAGGCCCTAACCCCTATGAAGCACAGCAAGGCATTGCTCCTACAGTTTGCCTAGTGCTGACTTTTAGAGGATAACAAGCAACCAGTTTGTCTGCATTTCCCTTTCTGTTAGGAGGACCTTTTCCTCACATGATTTTCATTAGATGTTCCATAATGCCTTGGATTCCTTGACAGAAGAAAGTTGGGATATACATGTAATAAATAATACACACACCATATTGCTCGCCCGATCATCAAATCATATATTTAGCTTGCAATCATAAGTCCCATTGAGTTCAATCAACGTGGCTTTGTACTCTCTGTGAACAGTTAGGGTTGCAGCTGTTGGAGACATTAATCCAAAAATCCAGAGAAGAGTGGAATATTTATTAGGGCCAATCAATAGTGAGCAAGTCTTCAAGTTCTCCAGAACTCCTCATCAGGCTAGGATGGGGGGAGAGAGAAACAGATGGCTTGGTACTATTTTGTGACATTTTGGTACAATTTTCCGTGGCACCCTACTGTTGACTTTGGAATGTTTCACTATGAACCAACACAACTATCTGTTGTTTGGGGGTATGTTAAGCATGGGATATGAATATGATATTTAGTTGCCTGACTGAATAAAAATGCGTGTTACCTGGTCTTAATTTAACCTAAGGTTGCCATCATAGCTCTCTTTAAAAACCAAGATGTGTTCTGATGTGTATGGACAGGGTAACAATGCAATGTGTGAACTAGGCTATCACGGATACAGCCTGCAGCAATTTTAAACACTGAGCAGCACCAGGAAGCCATAGCAACCTGGCTCATGCATTTCAGTCTCTGGTAAGCATGGGACTGCCAGCCAGCCTATGGTGAGATGAGTAGGAAAGGGAAGTGTTGGTAGTTATTCACAGATCAGTTGGAGCTGAGCACAAAAATGTGGTTCTGCAGCATAATGTTGCATTTATTCTGCGAGCTTGCTTTTCTTTGACTGGTGACTTACTATCTGGGTAGGCTTGCATTTAAGCACACTTTGATGCAGTGATTGTTCCCTGCTTCTTTTTACTGTTAATATTTTATTAAGGATTTTCTTGTTTTACAGAAGTGTAGTGCCTCGTATTTTTTTCTTTCCATGTAACATTTTTACAAATCCGTTTCATTTGTTGAGGCATTAGGGGGAGAAGGAAAAAAAGAAAAAGAAAAAAGAAAGGTGGGGTGGAGAGAGGGAAGATGGATAGAGGTGGGGTCGGGTGGCGGTGTTTCTATTATGTTTAATGTATGTAGAGTTTGGTGTCAGCGTTGCTTGTGTTGTTCACTTGTGTTCCTTTGGTGGTGAGAGAGGTTGGGGTTGGCCTAGGGTGTGATTGTTTGCTTGTGATTGGCTGTGGTGATCTTTGTTTTCGTGTGTGAGTGAGGTGGGTGGGTGTTTTGGATCAGGTTAGCCATATGGATTTGTATGCTGTTGGTGGATTATTGTCATTGTCCTGTTGGGCTGTGTATGTGATAAATGGGAGCCATACCGGGGTGAAGGCGTCTTCTTCTGTTTGTCCCCGTGTCAGTTTCAGTTTATTAGTTAATTTTTCTAGTAGTGCTGTTTCCCATACTATTTGGTACCATTGGTCCATGCTTACTCCTGACAGGTCTCTCCAGTGTCTGGTTATGGTGTTTCTGGCTGCTGAGAGCAGGTGGGTTATGAGTTCTTTGTGG